TCCCAGAATATTAGTTCTGAAAAATTATTAAACTGTACAAAACCATAAAAAATGGATCATTAGAATCCCAAAACTGAAATCTCCACTATTTGATGGAGTCTTTTATCAACCGCTTGTCTGGGAGTCGGGCTGGGAAAGAGACATTGAAGCACATATAAACACGGGAGCTTTGAGCTCAATCATGAGAAACAACCGTGAGGAAGGACTCCAGCACTTGGGGTCTGCTTCCGCAGGCAGAACTCCAAGGCACTCACCGATGGCCAGCGAAGAGGCTTCGCATAGCCGGCTGGCTCTCTGGGATCTGGTGCTGACTGTGTTAGTTCAGTGGGTTCTCTGACGGCATTTACATTCAGCTTCTTGATTTGTAATAATGCCACAGCTGCTCTTCCCGCCCTACAGAAGCCGCTGCAGCATGAAATCCATTTGATGCACTGTTGAAGTGATGTATGAGAGAAAGGTGGTTTGATCTCAACCCAGATGCAGAGCTCAATAAAGTCAGCCGCAATCAATTATAAGCTTGCGGGGAGAAACCAGGGTCTGAAAATTTGCAGGACCAAAAGATACTTAACTGTGGAGTGGGGAGAATCCTGAAAGGATGACTTGTCTTGACTGAGAAGGGATAACAGGTCATCCCTGTTTGAAAAATGGAGAAAAACGGGGTGTGTGCTAATGGTCCTGCTGATCATCATTGTGGCTTCCTTAAATCCGATTCCATTTAAGAGCACTTTGGGTCTCCTCAGAAGCCATTGTTCTAGCCTCGTTCCTAGAGGCATAAGCAGTGTGTGAGCTGGCCAAGTACTGTGCTTGAGTACAAGGTTACTGAGTGTTAGAAGACCACACAAGTATCTTGGCTCCAGACTTCTCTTGGGTTTCTATCTCTATCAGTCTCTGTCCTTACCCATAGCTACGATGTTCCTCTTCATCTCAGTAGACCTCCTTCCTCTGCTACTTCATCTATTCCCACAAAGCCATTATGGCCAGCCACTGGTAGTGGCTGCATCTACAAATGGAGCTCAAACTTGTATGTCTGTATAACTCCTGAAAGTATGAAAACCTATATACCACCTCACACACTTATCTGTTGACACCCTTCCCAACTCCCATCCCCTTTATGAGTCAAGATCTTGCTACGGAGCACAGGCTGGCTTGAACTCACAGACTTCCTCATACCTTTGCATCCCTAGTGCTGGGATTACAGACATACACCACCACACCTTAGCTTCAAATGTCGCATCAGTGTTTTAAACAGGTATGAAGAAAGCTAAGTTCCATGTAGTCTAAATCTTAACAGTTAACCCCATAGATTCTAACCCTGTTCCATGGCAGTTCAACTCCCATCAGAGGTGTTTAAGAAACACAAGAGTATGCCTTTTGTATTTTTAGAGAAGTTACTTCATAGTAAAAGTGAGCAGAGGGGACCAAAGTTCCCAAGATGTCCCCGTACCTGCACAGGCTCCCCACCATCACCATCACCATCACCATCACCATCACCATCCCAAACCATTTGCTGTTCTCAGTGAGCCTGTTGGCATCACAGTTTACACTCCGAGCTATACAATTAGCACTGTTAAATGTTTGGAAATTTCATATTGTGTCTTTTCTTCTCTCCTCTTGAACCATTCCCACTGGATTTTCTCCACAGATTCATCCTCCCGTCATCTATTTTTATCTTAACAGTCTGTCCTCGGGTTCCCGCTGACACATCAGTTCAACAAATGTTCACAAATTTAAGTTTTCAAATTGTTTTATTGTCAGTCAGCACATGACACATTTTTTTTTAAATCATGTAATTGATTAAAATATCAAAACATTTAAGACTTGGTATTTGGTAGGGGAGTGGTTTTTTCTTTTATTGAAGATAGATTTTTTTTCACACAATATATTCTAATTACGGTTTCCCCTCCCCTTACTCTTCCCAGTTCCTCCTCACCTCCCCTTCATCTGGATCCACACCCTTTCTGTTTCTCCTTAGAAAACAAACAGGCATCTCAGGAATAATAGTAAGATAAATAAATTAAAAAAATAAATTGAAATATGACAAAACAACCAAACAAGGAAAAGAGCCAGAGAAAAATCACAAGAAACCCATATAGACGCAGAGACATGCTTGTTCGCATACACAAGGGTCCCATAAAAAGTGGAAACCTGGAAGCCATAATATACACACCAAGGACCTGTAAGGTAGAAAGGGAAAAAGTGGCTTTGACTTAACACCGAGACAAAGAACTTCCAAAGATGCTGTTGAGCTGTTTTGTGTTGGCCATCTACTGCAGGGTATGGGCCTACACTTCAGAGTAGATTGTTTTCCCAGTGAGACTCCCTTGGAGAAAACTATTTTTTTTCATTAGCAAGTAGCTATCAGTTGGTGGGGGGGGGGGGCTAGCTTCTGGACTAGTGATGGGGGGAGTCTTAGATGGTTTTTTAATTTAAAAAAATGGTACCAGATATTGGGGGTAAAAGCTGAAAGATCAGAGAAGCAGAGCAAGCCACAGCCACCATCTGTTACCTCACCAACTCCATGAATCCTCTGCCTGAAATCCTCTGAGTCTTCACCCGAAAGGATCTCAGCTGAACTGCCTTAGTTCCTGTTTCCTCACACCTTATATACCTTTCCCCGCCCCCTCGCCCTGCCATCACTACCTGGGGTTAAAGGTGTGTGTGCTTCCCAGCACTGGGATTAAAGGTGTGTGCCACCACTGCCAGCCTTTGTTCCCAATATGGCCTTGAACTCACAGAGGTCCAGAGGATCTCTGCCTCCCGAGTGATAGGATTAAGGGTGTGTGCCACCACTGTCTGGCCTCTATGTCTAATAATCTAGTGGCTGGCTCCATCCTCTGATCCTCAAGCAAGCTTTATTGGGGTACACGATATATCACCACTCTCCCCCTTTTTTTGTCTAAAATAATAAAATAATACTTCTCCTTTGAGCTCTAGGACGCCATCTGGTGCAGACATTTGCAGGCCCTGTACATGCTGCCACAGTCTCTGTGAATCCGTATGTGTGCCAGCTCTGTTGTGTCTAGAAGACCTTGA